CATGATCCCAGGGTCCTGGGATCGAGCCCCGCGTCGGGCTCCCTGCTCCGTGGGGAGCCTGCTTCTCCCTCTCCCACTCCCCCTGCTTGTGTTCCCTCTCTCGCCGTGTCTCTCTCTGTCAAAAAAATAAATAAAATCTTTAAAAAAAAATTGCTTTGAACACCAGATTAGCAAATATTGAACCATTGCTCTTAGGGAAAATACAGGATTAGGTTCCTGTGAGCCTCGGGTTACAACAATTTCACTAACAAATCAGTACATAACCTTGTTTTATGTGTGATTCTATTTAAACATTGAACTCACAGTCAGCAGTACTCTAATTTCATGTTTGAACAAAGGTTGTTTGACATGGATTTTCTCCCTAAGGCACCCCACAGCCTTCTTGTGCTTAGGAGCACTAGAGAGCACTTCGGCTCTGTGCTTGGGGCCATTTTCAACAGCGAGAGCAACAAAAGCAAATGCAAAAAAAAATGTGGCATTAAATATACCACCATAAGGACACTTTATTTACAGTGTGAGAGCTGAAAGAAGGTAGAGCCCTGCCTTGTCTGACCTCAGCTGGGAAGGCATGCATCAGGTGACTGACTTTTTTTGTAGTTCTACATATGTCTGTGAATGACCATGAAGATGGCATGAGTATTGACTTTGGGGTTACAGATGCATTTTAGCAAGCAGGCAAATTTGCAAGTACGTAAGTACACATAATGAGGGTTGATTGTAATACAGTGAATCTCCACTCACAGTACCTAGCACATGCTAAATAATTAAGAAACAGCAACTTTCCTCAACTTCAGAGTGACACTGGGAAAATTTGGGCCAAACCTGAAATACAGACAAGGTACCACGTGTGTGCATTTTTTTTCAGTGTTTTAAAAATTATGAAATATAAACACTACACAATGAAGTGCATAAAACAAAAGCATGTGGTATAACAAATAACTGTAAAGCAACCAGCATGTAACTACCATCCCTAAGTCAGGGACTAGACCATCATCAGCACCTCAGAAGCCTCCATGTGCATACCGATTTCTTTGAAGAATTGTGTACTTCCAGCATCCCTTTTTCCCCTTCAAAGTGATATTTTTGCTGTGTTTTCTTCCAGGGTTAGGCTAGATTGAACTTCCTTTCTTCATTGAGTGGCCCGGTATGTTTGTGTTTTCTTGCAGAGGTGCTCAGCACAGTGGACTTTGTCGCCCCTGATGACCGAGTAGTCTTCCGCACGTGCGAAAGAGAACAGAACAGGGTTGTCTTCCAGATGGTATGAGATCCCAGGGGCTGAGCGCCCTCCCAAGGGTTACTCATCCTTAAATGCCTGGGCTCCGTTGCATAGTGGTGGTTTCCTGAGACTCTGCTTCAGTGTTTTTCAAAGATTTGTTCATGAGTGTTTACACTGTCAGAGACAATTTAAGGAAATCAAGCTTTAGCACTCTGTTACATGTCTCCAGTGTCAAATATAATTTCCTTAGTTGTAGGAATTGTCTGTTTGGCATAACTTATATATTTTTACCCCCTAGAATTGGTTATTCAATTCATGTTCTTTGTTTTTTGTATAGTCTGTATGTATTTCCCATAGAAAGAAAATTAGGTTTCCTCAAGAGCAGTTAATTTATGTTAGGCTTGTAATGACTCCATAGTGCTCTTCTCTCACTTCGGGAATTTTTTGGTGCTTTTTCAGAAATAGATTCTGCATGGTGTTTTAAGTTTTTAAAAGATTGGTAATAACAATGGGTAGACATATGATAAAGCAAACATAGCAAAATATTAATTGTAGAATGTAAGTGGTGAGTATATGAATGAATGTTCACTATAAAATTTTGTCAACTTTTTTGTATGTTAGAAAGTAATCACAGCATTGAGGACATTTTCTAGGCCTTCCAGGTCCAATTTTTGCCTCCGACAGTGAGCTAGTTCAGTGGGCTGGCTGTTTAAGAGAATGCCAGCCAGACTCTACTCGCTGAAGTGTGCGTGCACGCGCACACGCGTACATGGGGTCATAGATGTGTTTGTCTGCGTGTCTGTGCACGTGTACCTGTGTCATGGGTGGTGGTTGATGGAGCCTCTTTGTTTCTAGGGGACTTCAGATGCGGAGCGAGCTCTTGCTGTGGCCAGACTCGTGTAAGTTCTTCTCTCTTTGGGACTGCCTTTGCCACTCCTGTGGGGCTGTGAAGTTTTACTATTTCTGGTGACCCTGAAGGCGACCACCCTTCTGTCTCTTAGCTCTCTACCTTCTCTTTCCAGGTTAAGAGTGTCTGGGTTTTTTTCTCTGTTTTTGGCATCGGAGGGCTGGCCTGGGACTCATGTGTACCCATGTACCCAGATCCCAGATAACGTCTGTTCAGGCAACTATTTTTTAGTGTTTATTCATGAAGCTCCCTTTCCAGGGATTCTTACGACTATGAGCCCTAAGGTTTTGAGTCTCATGAAGTGTAGGGTAAGGATTATTACTGCCTAAATTAATGAAGGCAGGAGAGTACTGTGGTTAAGGAGATGGGCTTTGGAGTTAGACAGACCTGGGTTGGAATTCTGGTTGCTGCTTGCTGAGTGACCTTACATAAGTTACGTAACCATACTTTAACTAGGAGAACTTAGTTTTCTTATCTAGGAAGTGGGACCAGTAGTACTACCTACCTCTGGCATTATAGGTGTTGGTAAATGAGATAATTCACGTAAATGTCTTCGCAATATGTGGTATGTTGTGAGGGATTAGTGTTAGCTATTATTATTATTATTAATTACAGTAGCACTGAGAAGGAACTCAGGCATTAGTTACAGACTGTTAACTGTATACACACCAGAGGATGAGCTAAGGGTCCTTTCCACATCTGAAAATTGTTTGGAGTAAACCAACTGTGCAGCCCAGCAAACAAAGGCAGTCCCGTAACTTCTACTAGAACCAGTGCTCTGGGAACGGGCTCTTGTATTCATGTCACTTCTGTGCGTTGACCAATGGCTTTCGCTACCCAAGTCAGAACTGGAACTCTGGGATCAAGTTCAATGTGGCTCAGTATTTGGATTATCTGATATAATTCCCAAGTAGCAAAGTCCTCTACAAGTAGCCCGTTGTAGGTGTTTGAGCACAATATGCTCTTCTTCTTGAACTCTGCTCAGGGAAAGCAGTTGTACTTTTCAGAGACCAATTTTTTCACCTTCTATCACTGAGGGTTGGCATGTTTAATAGGGCCAGGGACATGGTAAGAGGTTCATGAGCACAGATCCATGCCTTTGATTCTAAATTCTCTCCTCAAAGTTGGATCTTTATTATAATCTTCTCTACCTCATGTTTTCCCAGGGAAAATGATGTGGCTGGTATTGATGTAAACATGGGCTGTCCAAAAGAGTATTCCACCAAGGTAAACTGATTTCTTCTTTAAATTAAAAGATTTTTTTAAAGATTTTGTTTATTTGTCAGAGAGAAAGAGAGCAAGAGCGAGAGTGTGAGCACAAGCAGGGGGAGAGGCAGGCAGAGGGAGAAGCAGGCTCCCTGCCGAGCAAGGACCCTGATGTGGGGCTTGATCCCAGGACCCTGGGATCATGACCTGAGCTGAAGGGAGACGCTTAACTGACTGAGCCACCCAGGCATCCCTAAACTGATTTCTTTATATACCTCACAAATACAGGGTACAGAGTAAAGGCAACTAACAAGACATTACCTGACTCTGGACTAGATCCTATACTAGATGGAGAAAATGCTCAAAAGGATATCGTTCGGTCAACTGGCAAAATTGGACTATGGGCCATAGAAGATTAGCTAAATATTGTATCAGTATAAGTTTTTGAAGTTGATAACTCTTCTATGGTTTTGTTAGAATATCTCTATTCTTTTTTTTAAAAGATTCTATTTTTTTAGGGGCACTTGAGTGGCTCAGTCAGTTAAACGTCTGCCTTCAGTTCAGGTCATGATCACAGGGTCCTGGCATCAAGTCCCACATCAGGCTCCCTGCTCAGCAGGGAGTCTGCTTCTTCCTCTGCTCACCCTCCCACCCCGCTTTCGCATGCTCATGAAAATAAATAAAATAAAGATTTTAGTAAAGATTTTTTTTTTTTTAATTTTAATTTTTTTTTTTTTTTAGAGAAAGAGTGACAGCAGGGCAGAGGGGAGACATAGCAGAGGGAGAGAGAGAATCCCAAGCAGTCTCCACGCCCAGCATGGAGCCCAATGTGGGGCTTGATCTCACAACCCTGAGATCATGACCTTAGTCCAAATCAAGAGTCGTACCTTCAACCAACTGAGCCACTCAGGTGCCCCTAAAGATTTTTTTTTTTAAGATTTATCTATTTATTTTAGAGAGAGAGAGTGAGAAAGAGTGCATGGGGGGAAGGGGAAAGGGAGAGGGAGAGGAGAATATCAAGCAGACTCCCTGCTGAGCGTGGAGCCCAATGTGGGGCTTGATCCCATGACCCCGAGATCATGACC